CAGGCCTGATATTTTGGGTAAATTGTTCATATATCTCTAATTAGCATAATAATTCATAATTTTTTATTCTGTTCATATTAGTTACCTGATTTACATAATTAGTTTTCAGCTTTTCCATCAATATCTCAGGTACAAATAATTTTGAATTAATTTTTAATGTGTTTTCAATACTCTCAGCACACGGGAGTTTAAGCTTTCTTTGATTGAAATTTGGATTGGAGAATAGACTATATAATTCTTGTCTATTTTCTGTATGGAGATCACACTCAGTGATGAAATGGATTTCATGCTCAATATGAAGGCAATCCTCGGGGGCGGACATCCAGGCATTTTCACCGCCTGGCAACCCGCGGCGGTGAAAACAAAGGCCCAAAACTCGCAGAAAACGGTACTTTGGGGTGATTGTTGAGACTCCTCTGAACAGTGCAACAAGATTAGCCCTACGTGTGTAACATATATAAATTTGATTGTTCGGGATTACTTCAAAGTTGAGTTTGTATTGTTTTCTCGAATTTTCACCGGCTCGACCGGCGTTCCACAGCAGCGCGCACAGAGCCCATAGAAATGCATGGTACAGTGGTGCGCGTCTTAGCAACGTGGAACGTCTGTGACGTAGCTCCGCCCCCCCAGGGTAGTTTCTTTTGTACGCCCCCATCCCCATCCCTAACCCTAACTCTAACGCTCACTCCCCGTTACCCAATTCATTCGTATATGCCCCTCTAGATAACTATAGATGTCCTTAGGAGGGGCATGTACAATTAAATGGGGAGTGCTGGAGAGTGTGGTTAGGGTTAGGGATGGGTGGTACGAAAGGAATACTTTCCACCAATATAATTTTTTACATGTAGGTACTGAAGTTGACAAAGATGAAGCTTACAGGTGTTTCAAGAAAGGTTGCGATGCTGGACATAGTGGCGCTTGCCACAACATGGGACTTTTGTACAGTGCTGGGAAGAAAAATGGAGGGAAGGAACCTGAACTTGAAAAAGCTATTGAATGTTTCAAATCAGCATGTAATAAGGACTATGTCCAAAGCTGTTTTATGTTGAGTGGATTATATCTAAGAGGATCAAAAACTGTACCCAAAGATATGAAGAAGGCTTTGGATTATTCTGTTAAGTCTTGTGATCTTGGTCTACTGTTCGGCTGTGTTAATGCTACTCGTATGTATACAGTTGGTGATGGTGTTCCGAAAAATCCAGAACTTGCAGCAAAATACAAGGAAATTGCTAAAGAGATGCATAAACAAATCAAAGAGCAGCAGAAGGCGATGGAATTTAGTGTATAGTGTGTTAGATTTTGGACTCAGATTCATGTTTCAGCCTTGGATTCAGGTTTGGGTTCCAATCTCTGGTTCAGGATTCAGCCTTGGATTCAGGTTTGGGTGGGTTCCAGACTCTGGTTCAGGATTCAGCCTTGGATTCAGGTTTGGATTCCAATCTTTGGTTCAGGATTCAGCCTTGTATTCAGGTTTGGGTTCCAACCTCTGGTTCAGGATTCAGCCTTGCATTCAGGTTTGGGGACCAGCCTCTATTTCAGGATTCAGCCTTAGATTCAGGTTTGGACTCCAGCCTCATGTATCCAAATTTCGTATTCAGATTTAATATTTTCATGAATATAACAAACACAAAAACAGACATCTAAAGTAATTATGAATGTAATAATCATATATATATATAAAGTTTGTTCAGATTGTTTGACACAAATGAAGTAAATTGAGCTTGTTAGCACATCAGCGTCTTTAATGTAAATAAACATCAACTGAAATGTCGTTCAATTTTAAATAGTGCCGAGTGTGTGCGTGTGTGAACACAGTCAGCTGGCACACAAATGATAATAAAATAAATGTGATGTTTACTATATGGGGGCCGCCATCTTGAATGCGACATAAAACTAAATAGGAGACAAGTTGCGAAACGCATTTTTCAGATTCCTACAAATCAGGACGAAAATACCAATCTTTCACAGAAATACGATACATTGGGGTAATATTAAGCCAACCGACAACAAATTTTGGCCGAATTCGTCGTCTTTTAAATACAAACACCTAATTACACAAAGAACATTGAACACTTTCCTGAGTATTTGAAACCGAAATTGTTATCTAACTGTAAGGCCGTCGCTGATTGGCTGCTGAGCTGGAATGACAATTTTTGGTTATCTTAATATTTCCATTGATTCATAGTTGCTGTACACTAGATATCATTTCTGAGTAGGTAGCCTAAAAACAACCCTTACTCACGACAATTCCACCACCAAATTTGATTGTTGGTTGAATACACTTCAAACAACTTTTCATCCGGTCTCGAACGTAAAACAATTTTCTATGGCTATGAAACAATGTAAGCTTTGACTCTTCAAATCAGTTAACTTTAGCCACCACTTCACCGAGTCAAGTGGACAAGGCACCACTGACAATGTTGATAACTACCATACAATTTCTATCCTACCAATATTCAGCAACATTATTGAATAATTTGTCAATGAAAATAAAATTATTATTAAAGCAAGCAAATGAATAAATTTTGATTTCATAGAAACATACTGTAGAATACTTTATTTTCGCTGAAGGGATGATTCCGTGAAAATAAAATCCAGTGAATATACTTTTTTTCCTATATTTCACATTAAACTCATGAAAAATTAGTGAAAATAAATTCCAAGCAAAACGCCCAAAAAACCTTTTCAGCGAAAATTAATTCCAGCGAAAATAAAGTATTTCACAGTAATACAAAACTCGTCATTACTAATCTGTTATTATACCTCCATGATAGACAGTCTGATTACTGGCCTGATTACTGGTACTCTTGGTATTTTCATTAACCTCGAAAAGCATTTTACACCAATAGGAGTCCAATAGTATTCTTATAGGAATATTAAAGGAGTCCAATGGTATTCTTATAGGAACGCTAAAGGAATCCAATGGTATTCTTAAAGGAACACTAAAAGAATCCAATGGTATTCTTATAGGAATACTAAAGGAATCCAATAGTAATCTTATAAGAATGGTAAAGGAGTCCAATAGTAATCTTATAGGAATACTAAAGAATCCAATGGTATTCTTATAGGAATACTAAAGGAGTCCAATGGTATTCTTATAGGGAATACTGAAGGAGTCCAATGGTAATCTTATAGGAATGGTAAAGGAATCCAATGGTAATCTTATAGGAATACTATAAGAGTCCAATGGTATTCTTATAAAGATACTAAAGGAATCCAATGGTATTCCTATAGGAATACTAAAGGAATCCAATGGTATTCCTATAGGAATACTAAAGGAGTCCAATGGTATTCTTATAGGAATACTAAAAGAGTCAATAGTAATCTTATAGGAATACTAAAGGAATCCAATGGTATTCTTATAGGAATACTAAAGGAGTCCAGTGGTATTTTTATAGGAATACTAGAGGAGTCCTATGATATTTTTATAGGGATACTAACGAATCCAATGGTATTCTTTTAGGAATACTAAAGGAGTCCAATGGTATTCTTATAGGAATACTAAAGGAGTCCAATAGTATTCTTATAGGAATACTAAAGGAGTTCAATGGTATTCTTATAGATACTAAAGGAGTCCAATGGCATTCTTTT